AGACTTCTCGATCAACGGAGTCAAATGCCGCCTTCAGGTCGAGAAATACAGCTATTGTCGGGCGTCTGTAAGCATGCCTATGTTCCAGGACCTGGCGCAGTGTGAATATTTGGTCGATACATCCACGGCCAGGTCTAAAGCCTGCCTGGTTTTCTCGGGCTTGCTGTTCCCGAGCTCCACTCAGGCGTCGGAGAATTATAGAACTTAGGATCTTAGACACTATGTTTGTCAGGCTGATTCCTCTGTGGTTATCACAAGAGGACTTCTCGCCTTTCTTGAAGACTGGGATGATCAGTGACTTAGACCAGTCGGAGGGGATCGTATTTGATTCCCATATACTGGCTAACACTTCCGTTAGCCTGACTAAGAGAACTCTACCACCATTCTTGTATACCTCAGCAGGTAGTCCGTCTGGTCCTGCTGCCCTTCCCGTTTCAGGCTACCTACCGCTTTCTCAACTTCTTCTAGTGTTGGGGGACCTGTCTCTATGTCCCATTCAGGGTCCGACTGGATAGCGGGCAGCGCAATGGTGGCTGGAGGCCAGTTAAACTGTTCCTCAAAGTGTTCTGCCCATCGTCCCAGTCGCCTTCCCTGCGAGTGAATCGCCGATCCGTCCTTCTCCGCTATAACCTCACTAACTGTTGTTGACCATTTCCCCCCAGTCTCCTTAATAAGTCTAAATAACTGTCTACTGTTACCGATCGCCGCTGCCTTTTCCATCTCTTTAGCCTTTGCTGCCCACCACTGTTCACGATCGTTGCGCAGACTTTTCGTCAGTTTATTTTTAAGTTGCGCTCGCTCTTCATTGTACTCAGAGCCTGCAGGGATGCATTCACGTGCATCCATTAGTTTGGAAGAAGCTGCTGATATCCACTGGCTCTTTTTAGCCATTATCTTGGAGTCGGCTACAGTCTCCAGTGCTGCTTTTACAGTAGACTGAAGATGGCACCAAGCTTCTTCTGGATGAGTGACAGTCTTTTGTTCCGATAACTGCCTAGCCAACTTCTCACTGAACACGGCTTTGGTGTTTTCGTTGTCCAGCAGAACTCGTAGTGGTTTTGTTGCCAAATTTTTTCTACGTCCATTGAGACGCAGGCATATACGTGCTCGGACCAACGCATGATCGCTGTCCAAACACGTACTCCAGAAGGAGCGGCAGTCTTCCACCGATCCTCTCCAGCGATGACTAATAGCAATGTGGTCTATCTGTGTCCATCGCTGAGTCGAGCTCGGTGGACGCCAGGTCAGACAGTGCCTTTCTTTATGTCTGAAATTTGTGCTGGCTAAAAATAGGCGGTTATCTGAGCATAGTTGTAATAGGCGATCACCGTTATCTGTACGTTCAGCTGGGATTCCGAAAGTGCCACCTAAGTGCCTTTCTGCCTCACTCAGTCTACCCACCTGTGCGTTGAGGTCACCTGCAACAACCACTACGTCCGAACGTTTGGCTTTCGAGAGGAGGTTAGACAGTTTATGGTAGAACTCGTCCTTCACTTCATCCGAACTACAGTCAGTGGGTGCGTAAGCAGAGATTACAAAGAGACAACGGCGAGTCTCACTATTCCTTTTAGTTCTCACTGTGCCGTTCAGCCTCATAGCGCAGAGGCGACTATCAACTGGGATCCAGTCTAGTAGTGAGTTTTCTGCCCTGGTGCTTAATGCTATACCTACACCTGCAAGACCACGAGAGCTAGCTATCGAATCTCCAGAAACTCGAAGGGTGAATTTTGCAGATTCACCAGATTGGTCAGGAGAGGTCAGGTGAATAACCACACTTGGGTCCTGTATGCGTGTCTCACAAACACAGCACACATCCATGCCTCGAGTTGCTAGAGTCTTTGCCAACGAAGCCTGTTGGCCAATTTGACGGAGGGTGCGGACATTGAAGGCTCCAATATGTAATTTGGAGCGTGGTTTAAGGAGACCAGGGACACTGTTCTGTGGACTCAGATCGTTGTCGAAGGCTGCAGAGGTAGGAGAAATTGAAGATGATGCAGCATCATTAATTAAGAGACGTGAAGGAAGATTAGAAGGTAATGATGGAGGAGGAGGATAGCAGTCAGAAGAAACTTGGGTGCTGACAGAGTTGTGAGGGCGGTTGACACTTCCCGGCTGCCCACACCGTGGAAGGCTATTTCTTCTTAAGGTACCTGAAAGAGATTTGTGTGACCGCAGAGCCCATCGGACATCTGCTTGAGGCCTGTCACACCCAGCCTTTTGAGTATGATTATTTTGAATTTTTGTATTTTTGGGGCCGGATGAGCGAAAGGAAACGACAAGTGAACCAACACCGCCGGCCCGGCAGACCGTGGGGCGTGGTGGAGTGTGTTATTTTTGGGGCCGACCTTTTCTAACCCCCCCTTCCACTGAGAAGGCAGCATCAGCTTGGCACTGCTGGTCATCCAAGGGAAACACCTTACTGCTGTCACACCCCATCCAGCTAGCAGCAGTACGACTTCGCCCTCAGACCCCCATCATAGTATAGCAATTTACACTATGACGGTAACTGCTTTTCGTCTAACCACTACCCAACAGACCTTTCTGGTATGGTAGGACCTCGAGGGAACAAGCGTTCCACCAGCATAGCTCGTTGGGTCATTGTGATATGCAAGCCCGACCACCACGTCAAGGTAGCAGCTATCGGTCGGGCAGATGTATACAGATATTATCCTCATCTTAACGACGCTATACAAAATCTCACCATTTTCTCATGCCTCTTTTCCTTCTCGTACTTTATATTTCTTTTGACTGAGTTTTCTTATCTTCATCTTGCACTTCACTACCTTTCTACGTGATGAACTGACTTGAGGTGTGGCAACTCAGAGTGTTACGCAGTAATGCCTGGTCCTATGTTGATATTGATGATGAATGGATTACATACTGCTGTATCAACTCAGTATCTAAAGGAGATATATCTTCAAGGTTCAATTCTTCTTTAATAACGAAATATATAAAAAAAGGACGGTATTAGCTATAGGCCCACCACTAGACTACTACATATCGAAAATTTAAAACATCCTTGAACAAAATAATCAACCATTTTGAGTTTTACAAAAGGTATGTAGATGATATCTTGACCACATCTAGTTATACAGGTAATTTCGAAAATATTTTACGTTTCTTTCAACAACTGTCATCCAGTAATCCAGTTCGAATTAAAAAAGGTATCAAAATTTGAAAATAACCTTTTTAGATGAGTAACTGACAAAACATAGAGATGAGAAACTGAAAAGGTCCACTCACAAAGCAGACAGATCATTAACTTCTACAGTTGACTTTTTCTAAACATAAAACGAAATTTTGATTTGTTTCTTGTGTCATAAAGACGGTAATATCTACATTTCTGACGCCAGCAACGAAAAGCTAAATACTCTTATAAATGCTCTGATTAATACCAACTACCTTAACATTTTGTTAAGAAAAACATGAATCAAAGACCAGCCAAGGAATTCTTCTTGAATACCCGGCTCAATTGGAAGTTATCGGCGGGAACACCTACTTTGCAGTTAAACTCCAATTCAATCATTCCACGTAATCAATGATTCAATTATGCGTAGGGGATAAGCTACCGCTGTTAGCCTTCTCAAGGTTTATCTATCAATTCAGCTGCTCCTGTGGAACCCGTTATGTCGGCTGCCTTCTAAACGTATTGTTGAACACATATAATCTTGGTTTTATAAAGGAGAAAGGAGATCCGTATGCAGTTCAACTTAAAAACATTTGATCGATTCTGGACACTAAATGGACCTACAATCTAACTTCCGTATCATCTACAGAGTATACGGGAATCTCGTGAGAGCTGTGCGAATGAAATTTCTTCAAACTGCGAATACCATGAGGATTCGTATTTTAAAGTCCGAGCTCTGCATACAAAAGAATTTTTTTATCATTTGGCTTACAATGGACTCAGCATGTGTAAGAATTTTACCTTCAGAAAGTGTTTTCTTTCATGCATTTACTACCTTATTACGTCTTCTTTCCTTATAACACGTTCTTTTACACTGAAAATCTAAATTTCCATTACTGCGCTGCATTCACTTCTCCTAATTGTATTAAGTCATGCAACCTAGGGTATACAAATTGATAGGAGTAATACCTCTAACTAGGGATCTACCAAAGAGGAGCTTATCACATATGCAGTGAAATACGTTGATTCAATCTCTGAAAGCGTTAGAAGTTTGAAAAGTAAAACGTACAAATGGTTCATTTGTAGTTGATCTTGAGATGTTTTATCAAATTTGTGTCAGGTTAAGGTGAAAATCAATTTTTCACACAAAGCAGTAACGTAATGAAACCAACAACTGGAATACCGTTTACAAATTGGGACTATTCGGCGGATGGTACCGGTGTAATTCAGAGTTAGAACATGAATTCAGTCACAATTCAGTGGACTGAATTTCACTTATTTGAAAAAAGCAGTTTAACTCTTAACTAGCTCAAAATCTAATGATGGATGGTAGCTAACAGTGGAGTCCAGGAAACGCGTTTCTTCCTATTAAGGACTCGTCAGCTGGATGTATCTGCTTCTCAGTGAGCGATGTTGTTCCCACCAGGACATGAACTCTGGACCGACCGACAGAAACTTCTTGTACAACAGGTTTGGTTTTAATCTTGTTGCTTGTATTATCCCGTCGTCGAGTGGACCAAATTGATCGATCTCTGTTAGCATATGAGCTACTGGGCGAATATCTTGATATTGCCTGTGTTTGAATTATATATTAATGATAGATTTCACTGCTAGCCACTATCCAGCATTATTATAATTAGAACGCAGGTAATATCGAGGCATCCGCCCAGGAGCTCATATGCCAATAGAGAATGATCAATTCGATCCAATCAACGACGGGATAATACAAGCAACATTAGCCCAAAATGGAAATGAAAAAACTATCAATACTAATAAATTAGTCATCAGTGTCACTTACTCGAAGTATGCAAAGCGCATTCACATAAGTGTATCAACATTTATCACTGTATAATACATATATTGAAGATGATGATTAAGTAGTATCTGACTTTAAACCAGTTGACAGTTTACCAGCAAATTTTCGCCTTTCTTTCATCTCCTGGTCAACACGTTTCATTTCTAGCATCTTTAATTCATTATTCACTGTATTTGACATATCTGGATGACAACTGGCCAGTTTACGTAGGTCAGCAGCAGCTAAATCTAAGTCCCATGTCTCTGTATACGCTTTGAAACGACGGTAAAGTGCCTTCATATTTGTAGGATCTCGAGATAAGGCTTCACTGGTATTACGAATAGTAGCATAATAATCCTGGAATATCGAACATGAAAAAAAACACAAAGGTGGCTGAATTTTTAGGCTTTCAATAAGAGGAACATTGATGAAGTAGAAAAAAACCCACTAAATTTCAAGTAATTAATTTAAATAAGATATTTAGTCAGAAGAATGAGCAATTCACGCGAAAATTTCCAAGGGATTAATGGTGAAGAATAAATGAAAACAAATATCTGTTAATTCAGAACAATGAAACATTGAACAGTTAGATATAACTACAACAAAGACAATAGGAATGTGAAAATAAATGATAATACAAAAAACAGACAAATGGATAGAGAGGCATGTAGATCAACACAGAAACTGATAGAGAAAATGCATCACTTTCGGTTGACATACTTCTTAGTAGCATAAAAAGATATAGTGAATAGAAAACGATTGGCATTAAAGTAGGCAGAGTAAACGAGAGGAGGGAAATTAAATAGACGAAGGTATATACACTGTGTCACTGGGATTGATTTCGAACTACATCATAGAGTCTTTAACCATGAATTTTTAACATTTCAAGGAACCCAACACAGAGAGTTTACACCTCCCTACACGATTCAAAGTATCAGTTAATGACTTCATGGACTGCTATTACAACCAGAACTCATACATTTCGATAGATAAACAAATTACAGATGAAACTGGGGGAAAGATCAACAACAGTTAGTGAGGCCATAGCGGAGAAGGATGGATCTGCTATTCACTCGCAGGGAAGACGACTGGAACGATGAGCAGAACACTTCGAGAAACAGTTTAACTGGCCTCCAGCCACCACCGCGTTGCCCGCTTTCCAGTCGGATCCTGAATGGGACATAGAGATAGGTCCCCCAACACTAGAAGAAGTTGAGAAAGCGGTAGGTAACCTGAAACGAGGAAGGGCAGCATGACCAGACGGACTAGCTCCAGAGGTATACAAGAATGGTGGTAGAGTGCTCTTAGTCAGACTAACGGAAGTGTTAGCCAGTATATGGGAATCAAATACGATCCCCTCCCACTAGTCTAAGTCACTCATTATCCCAGTCATCAGGAAAGGTGAGAAGTCCTCTTGTGATAACCACAGAGGAATCAGCCTGACGAACATAGTATCCAAGATCCTAGGTCCTATAATTCTCCGACGTCTCAGTGGAGCTCGGCAACATCAAGCCCGATAAAACTAGGCAGGTCTCAGAACTGGCCACGGGTGTGTCGACCAAATATTCAAACTGACCCAGGTCCTGGAACACACACACACTTACTGACGCCCAACGCTGGCTGTATTTATCAACCTGAAGGCGGCATTCAACTCCGTTGATCCAGAAGTCTTATGGCAATGTCTCTCAATGAAAGGCGTGCCGAGTAAGTACATCACTTTATTGAAGGCTCTACTCGAACACTTGTGGGCGTCTTAGAGCCTATAGTGAGATTTCCAGGGAGCTATACTCATCGAGTAGTGTTCGTCAAGGATGCCCACTGTCTCCATTCTTATTCAATTTTATCATAGATATTCTTATGGAGGTCTCCCTCTCATCACCTGACTACACAGAGGTTGACCTAATCGGTGGAGAATTTTCGTTAGACGTAAAATATACAAATGACATAGTCCTGTTGGGTGAAGACGCTCACAAGACACAGAGTCTTCTGAACACTTTCAGTGGGAATTTGAGAATGTTTGCGATGCGTTTCTCACCACCCAAATGCAAATTGTTGCTCCACAATTGGTATTCAACAGTGCCCCACCGACGCTAACGCCCAACGCTGGTTGTATTTATCAACCTGAAGGCGGCATTCAACTCCGTAGATCCAGAAGTCTTATGGCAATGTCTCTCAATGAAAGGCGTGCCGAGTAAGTACATCACTTTATTGAAGGCTCTACTCGAACACTTGTGGGCGTCTTAGAGCCTATAGTGAGATTTCCAGGGAGCTATACTCATCGAGTAGTGTTCGTCAAGGATGCCCACTGTCTCCATTCTTATTCAATTTTATCATAGATATTCTTATGGAGGTCTCCCTCTCATCACCTGACTACACAGAGGTTGACCTAATCGGTGGAGAATTTTCGTTAGACGTAAAATATACAAATGACATAGTCCTGTTGGGTGAAGACGCTCACAAGACACAGAGTCTTCTGAACACTTTCAGTGGGAATTTGAGAATGTTTGCGATGCGTTTCTCACCACCCAAATGCAAATTGTTGCTCCACAATTGGTATTCAACAGTGCCCCACCGACGCTAACAATACAGAGTGAAGTGACTCAGTGTGTTGACCACTTCACTTACCTGGGAAGTAGGATCAACCCCAACCTGGTGGCTCAGTGGCCGATGAAATCTCTGCACGGACACATAAGGCTCCGCTGGCTTTCGCCAACTTACGCCACCTATGGTGCCCCCGTGTTATCCGATTGTCTATTAAGGGTGGTGTGTACTGCACAGCAGTCCGCTCTGTTCTATTGTATGACTGTGAAACATGGCCATTGAAGGTAGAAGATATGAGAAGGCTTCAAGTGTTTGACCAACGTTGCCTTCGTAGTGTTGAGCCGTATTCCGTGGTGTCACCATGTGAGTAATGCAGAAGTCAGGTATAGACTTTTAGGGAGAAGAGGTGAGTGAGTTGACGAGCTTGTGAACCTTCATTGACTGAGATGGTTGTGACGCCTACTACATATGCCTAGTCACCAATTGCCTCGTCACACAATGTTGGCTGAGTTGGGTCCAGGCTGGAAAAAGGCTCGAGGTGGCCAGACTAAAACATGGCATCAATGTATGAAGTCTCTGACTGTTGGTTTGAGCTACGTGGGGCAATGTGGACAAGCCGGTTGGGGTCCATGGAAGAGGAGAAAACAGTGCCTGGAGACTGACTTTAGGTGATATGTCTCAGAACCGATGTCAGTGGCGCATATGTATACAGATATTATCCTCATCTTAATGACGCTATACAAAATCTCACCATTTTCTCATGCCTCTTTTCCTTCTCGTACTTTATATTTCTTTTGACTGAGTTTTCTTATCTTCATCTTGCACTTCACTACCTTTTTACTTGAAGTGATGATATGAGATGTGGCAACTCAGAGTGTTACGCAGTAATGCCTGGTCCTATGTCGATAAGGATGATGATGATGACACATGAAACATAAGACTCGTTCACTTGTAAATCAGTTTAACAAATTAGCAATAAAATCAACAATCTGAACGAAGAGGATTCTTCTCAATAGATTCTCTTCAGGTTCTACAATCATAGAATGTACAGCAGGAAATCAAGTCGAGTAAGGGTGAGATATATTTTGAAAATGGATTGAGATTTAGGAATTGTAAGGACAGCGACGATTCTCTCTTAAATTTGTCATTATTGGGATGACACATTTACCGATGGATAATATGATAGTGAGTGAACAAAAATGATAACGAATAAAATGGGAGGAGTGGCCTTTAGTTTGTTGAAGGCCAAGGGAGAAGTAACGTTTGGATATGTTCTTTCTGAATGCAGAGTTCAAGCTTGATCAATCTTATTGCGACAGCTTTCCTTATGTTGAGTAGGCGTTGGCAAGCTACACGTGGTGTCGTTTTTGGAAAACGATGAGTGACATTGAAAGCTTTATTAGTATCTATGCGATGCCCTATGTCGACTAGATGCGCTAAGATTGAACTTCTCACCACTTTCACTTCGCTCTTTCCAAACCGAGCTGGTAAATGCTCTCGTAGCTGAAGACGCACCTGTCTAATCGTATGCCATATCTAACTAGTTCCACAGGAGGAGTTAAACTGGTACATGCAGGATGAACAGGTAAGATTAGATAGGCTATTCTTTTGTCTCAAATTTAGAGTTGGCCGACTACTGAATGATATACAAAGCTGATCTGCATAAAACGTCCTATTGACTGCCCTACCTAGGCATTGTGATAGAATTTCACTTGCTGCGTCTCCCATGAATCGTAAACGCAGCAGCAAAAGCTTCTCCATTTTCATCACTTCTCGTTTACGATTAATGTAGTTGATGTTAGTTTTGATGAACTTATCCGGATATCCGTTTTCACCTAGAATATTATGGATACATAGTAGTTCTTTCTCCATATACTCTTTGGAACAAATCGATCTTACTCTAAATCCCAGGGATCTGATTATATTACGTTTGTACTTCATTGGTACAAAGCTGAGCATTCCTATATGATATCAAATGTGTAAGAGATGTCCAAAGGAAACTCATATATCTTAAATTTTTATCCTGTGGTGCTCATGTTATGCTGAGTTTGTGTTCTATCTATACTGGTTCATAAGTCAAGAAAGGGAAACCAAAAATTTCATATTCCTAGTTTCTTTTTCTGCTTGATATCAATTGGACTATTTGATCATTTCTATATCATCTAAGTGTGAAAGTGGAACTATAGCTCCTTGGTCTAGGCGGTGGTGTTTTAACCAGTGGGGTTCAAACCCCATTCCGCTCACTAAGATTTGGGCAACGAGGTAGTATCAATAGTCTGGATACAATGGGTGTGATTCATTGTCTAGTGTATGAACATGAATGCATTTGTTGAGAAAAAATAGTTCAGTACAGTCACCAAGTGTGTTGTACAAAGAAACCGAATAAGAAAAAATGGACTTATTAAAGATGAAATTTTTGACTCAGTAGACATTGTGGATAACGATTTGGCATTTGAAGCGATAAGTGCTGGGTTCGATTATCACTGTAAACAACACAACAACTTTACACCTCAACTTCATCGACTTTGAAAAGGTCTTCGACAGAGTCAACCGACAAGTAATTTGCAGTCAGCTGCTTCAACACCACGGTTTTGGTGCCATAAATCTTTATCAACCTCATTCAACAGCTATATGAAGACACCACATGCCAGCCAAGTAATTCACAATGGGAAGCTCAGTGATGCCTTTGAAGTGAAGACAGGAGTAAAAAAAGGCTGTCTATTATCACCAATGATACTCCTGATTGTGGTCGACTGGATCATGCAACAAACAGTGAGGAGCGAGAAGAGAGGGATAAGCTAGCAGGACCGATGAAAAGAACCTAGAAATTTTGCATTTCGCCCATGACTTGTGTCTGATGTCACACAAACTTGAAGATATACAGGCGAAAACTAACAAGTTGACAGAAGAGACAGGGCAGCGAAGGGACACTGGACTTCAACCTAATGTAGAGAAGACAGAGGTGATGAAGATACCCAACCAACAAAAACAACAAACTCCAGTCACCATCACTGGGAGAAACTTAAAGGAAGTAGTCTCTTTCACCTACCACCTAGGCAGCACTGTTTCAACTACAAGTGGCGACGGCACAGACGAGGATGTCAAAGCAGCCAGGATCCGAAAGACAGCAAGACAGGCGTTCATTAACTGAAACCAGTGTGGAGATCTACTGCACTCACCATAAAGCGTCAACAAGATCCGGATTCTCAACACCAACGCCAGTCGAGTCAGTGCTCCTATATGGTTCAGAGACTTGGCGCATCACGAAAACCATTTCCAACAAAATACAGATATTCATCAACAACTGCCACCTACGCTGGCTCCTCACTGAAGCTCAGATTCATTGCCAGAAAGAACAAGCAACAAGAAACTCTGGCTAGCTAGCTGGCTGGCAACGAACCAACCAAGAACCTATCGCTCTACAAATATGCAGTGGAAAGAAGTGGAGATGGATTGGATTGGACATACACTGAGATGACCATTAAGGGACATCACGTGCCAGGTCAGGCGCTCGAGTGAAACCCAGATGAGGAAAGAGTAGTTGGGCGTCCGAGGTGAGGGTGACATGGAGGAGATAGTGCGAGGAGGAAATGACAGCTTATGGGCTGTCGTGGAGCCAGGTCCAAAAGATTGCAGAGAAGAGAGTTGAATGGCATCGTGCTGCTGAAACCCTATTTTCCACTAGGAACCCAAGGGACAAATAATAATAATAATATAATTCAGACAAACATAGGCTTGTTTGCACCTTAAATATGTAATATGTAGTCAGTTGAGATCGAAAATGTGAAATTGTTGGCATTTGATGATTCTCAACTTCAAAACGTCCGTAAATTTCGTTCACACAAAGAGACGAGCAATATGAAAGTTAGGCTCTATGAAAGACAATGGGGTAACTTGATAAGATAATCGATTCGCAACAACTAACAAAATTATTGAGTAGTCATCTGCACATTTTTCAATGAATGTTTATTTTGAAGCAAGGTGCTAACTTAGACACGTTTATATATATAGAGAGGTCAGTGAGAATTTATTTTTAGGGTACCAGTTGGAGAACCATTGAAAACCTGAGAGGAGTGGTAGACTGCTTCGTCGTAGTCGGAAACTCCTCAACCGTACACACCTATAACCTATTAACCTCAAAATAACCATATGAGGCTCATTAATGACATGCCTCGAGATGGATACCCTAAAATTCTAATGACAAACAATGAGCTGTGGAATCAATCAGTCAGAAGTGAAGCGGATGCCTACTGAAGACCTTGATGGATATTCTTGTTATATAGAGAATTAACAGGAGTATGAAACTGCGAACCATTGGACTGAAACTCAGTGGTTGAATGGTTAAGGTGTTCACCGTAAAACCCAAAGGTCCTGAGTTCGACCTCATCAGAGTTGTGTGTGCATATTACTGACTCGTATATTAAGACAAGACAACTGTTTAGTGTTCCCAGGTTTTAATGATTCTCCAATTGATATCAGTCAACATTGAATACTACCGTAAATGTATGTATGCATACATGGTTTTACAATTATTATTTATTTTGTTTTCACACTTCTATTTCGTGTCATTGCTTCTTTTGTACAATTTTGACAGATTGGAGAAGTACAAAACTAATACGATTAAGTTATATATTGTTTCACTAAAATATATGCCTGAGCTATTTTGTCGAATTGAAGCTGTTACTGTCATCTAATCGATAAGCTTATAAACCTTTACCAACTGACATGGCTTGAACAGGTGTTACACATCTCGAACTACTGCCTAACTCAATAATCCAATGCTAAGTCGAAGTAGGATTGGTATAAGATAGGATTAGGGGTGAGCAGACCAAGACATAACAAGAGTCCACGAAAATCTCGACTGTTAGAGTTGCATAGGGAGATATAGGCTGTACAGCTGCTGTCGTCAAGACGTCACAAATCGTTGGTTGGAAACTTCTCGTGATATCATTCAAAGCCAATAACGATAGCAAAGGTGTATACACTTGATTATCTTTCAAGTCTCGAACACTTTTATCAACTTTTATGTCATTTTTTTCTATCCACTTGGTCTTTGCATGCTGTTGTAAAGTATGACAACTTGAACTGATGCATTTTCGCCCCAGGCTCCAGGTTGATTTGTTTCACGTTGTGTGTGTGTGCCTGTCATCAGTCTGGATGAAACTGCAATCACCAATTCAAATTTCGCAATACAAGGTATTCTTAATTTGGTGAGCAGCTGGATGAGAGTATAATCAATCTATTTTACTAGGACTTTTAATTCAATTTCTCCTTTACACCTGAAAGGAAGAAATAAATCTAATTTCAACAATCAAATGATCCTAAATTTATTGCATAGCAACGGGAAATCACAATTATCGATAGATACCCATTGTACAAGAGATGACTCTAGTGTCTCAGTGGCCTAGTGGATAAGGCTCTGGCGTTTGAAGCGATGGGTACTGGATTCGAGTATCAGCGGGAGCAACATCAATGGCTGGGATGTGCAGGCATATCCAGCTGACGAGTACCACCTACGACGGAATGCGCGTCCGGGATCCCACTGCTAGTTACCAAGATAGATACATGATCCTTAGTTCGAACACGCAAAAGGATTGGAACAAATGAAAGCTACAACAGGTATTTTACTTACCTTCATCTTAAACTGACATTGTGCAAGATTAACAAATAATGGTATACGAGATTTATCCAATTCAATCCACTCCGGTTCCCCTGGTTTTTCACGCAGAATCAATTGTTCTAAAATACCTAATGCTTCACTGTATCGTGCAGCTGCTTCATTATATTCACCACGACTATATAATTGATTGCCTTCTTCGCGTAAAACTGGCACAATTGAAGCTTTTTCTTCAGGTGTCATTATCCATGTTTCTTTACGACTAGTTCCGGGGATTTCAACTCTAGAAAAATAAGTAACATAAATGGAAAAGTGTAATACTAACACAAAAATGCTACGTAAACTCCAGTAGGAATGAAGTTAATAATGATAAAAGAGTACAAGTGCGAAGATGAAATGCCCGATAAAGTGATATTCAGGTTGGAATTCATCATGAACTGACATCAGTTGGAGGAACATTGGAAACCTAAGAGCATTGGACAGCTATTTCGTCATAGTATGCGACTCCTCAACAGTGCGCACCCACGCCCTCCCCCCAACCTGAAATCAATCAACAAAATCTCCAAAAACCTGCAGATTGAATAAATCTAGCGCTCATTGGAGACTTGACTAGCTTTGAGAGGTACTTCCCGAAGTTCCAATTAGAAGTCGTGACCAATGCAGCCAACCAAATTGAACACAAGGATAGTTACTTAACGACTACATTGGATAGAGGTCGTGCTATATCGTGAACTGAAAGAAGTAGGAAAAATCGAGCATTGAATTTCGATCCAGTGGCTCAGTGGTAGCATGTTGAAGGCCCTGGACTCGATCCCAATCATGGTCGTGGATGCGCGCTACTGAGGAGTCCCATGCTAGGACAAAATAGCTGTCCAGTGCTCCCAGGCTTCCAGTGTTCCTCCAACTGATGTCAGTCCATGGTGAATTCCAATCTGAAAGTAATTAATAAATCTGCATAAACCTCCAGATTGAAATTTATATTCACTGGAGCATCCTCTAAAATCATAAATCCATGAGCGGTTTTCCTGTGCCAGTTCAAAAAGGCTTTAGAGCTCTACACACTATTTTTTTCTTCATTTATCGAATATGTAGACCTTTAGATCCCCAGACTAATCTAAGTCAACGATGAAGATTATCGTGAAACAGTAGCGGCAAATGATCCACTAAAATCAACATTATTATTTGTCTCTCGGGTTCCTAATGGAACATAGGGCTTCAGTAGCACGTCTCCAATGCGCTCTGCTCTCTGGAATCGTTTGAACCTGGCTCCATGATAGCCCACAAGCTCTCATTTCCTCTTCGCACGATCTCCTCCATGTCACCCTCAGATGTAAAATCAACATGGATAGTTTTAATAGGATCGCTGAGCTGAAAGCACAGGGTCAAGCATCCACCCAACTGGGCACGTTGTCGTGTTATGTTGCACTGTTCTTAAGCGATCCTATAGCCAGCTAGTCAGAAGGCATCAGTAATTTGGATTGGTCTATTAAATCTACTATTCTGCCTGGCTACTCTATTGTTTTTTTTTCGGTCTCACACTCGTGGATATATAAGAAGTTTGAATAATTAGTGATTGGCCTTTGCATCTGGCAAGTTCGCTTAAAATCCATTCCTAGAAAACTAGTCCATGAAAAGCAGTCCACTATAGGCATAGAGGAGTCATATTGCATAGTCATTATATTCCACAGACTGTAAAAGAAAATCATCTTCACAATTTTTTTGTTTAGTTCAAGAAACACCTGTAAAACAGCATATTGGACTAATTCTGATGAAATAACAAGACGAACAGACATAAAATCAGCGTAGAACCTTGTATACAAGTGCATCGGTTCAAGTTGCAATAATTCATAATAGCGTGCAAAGAACAAGTAAATGGAAAAGAAACTGATATCAAAATAGGCAAAGGAAGGAGACGGAAATTGAAAACCAAGGTTAGTTAAAGCATTCCAACTTTGGATGACATCAAAGAGTGAACACATTTGCCCCTGTGTGACCAATGAAATAAATAAAAAAACAGCTGATCAGTACTAAAAGATTAATAAAAAGTCTAGAATGTGAAATTCAATTGTTCAAGTATAATTATAGCCTAATCTACTTTCTGTATGAGGCGGGTGCATTGAATAAAAGCTCAGAACATTCTAAACTTCGGGGATATTTGTACATTATTCCCATTTTCATGAGTAAAGTTGATATAAGTCTACAGTACAGCTTGTACAGAAATTTTATAATATATCAAGAAGATAAACTTCATCTGAGAAATGTGATGTACTTGCATAATACAATTCCAATAATCTGAGCAGACAATTACTTGTCAAGGCATTTTATAGGAAGACTGAAAATATAGTCATATCAGACAAATGAAAGTAGGGTCAATACATTTGAAGATGACACGTTGATAAAAGAGAAAAAAGTCTTTTATACCAACCATGGTTTTGAAATAAGATCCAATTATCATCATAAAGATCAACATAGGAGCTGGCATTACTGAGTAACGGTCGAATTCGCAACACCTCATATCAGTACATCAAGTAACGAGGCAATAAAATGGAAGATGAAAGAAAAATCGGCCGAAAGAAGTAAAATGTAGCAAAAGAGAGGGAGGAGAAAATGATGTGATTAAGTATAACGGTTCAGATGGAGATAAAGTATGGATATATCTGCGTCACTGACATCAATTCTGAGCCATATGACCTAGAAGCTTCAACCGCTGGTTTCGCCTGTCCCACGGACCCCAACCAGTTAAGCTGCATCGCCCTACATGGTTCAAACTAACAGTCAGGGACTTCATACATTCATGCCATGTTTTAGTCTGGCCGCTGTGAGCCTTTAGTCAGGCTGAACCTACTTCGGTCAGCATTGTGCGATAAGGTGAACGGTGGCTAGGCATAAGTAACACATGTCCCAGCTATCTAAGTCGATGAAGGTTCACAACCGCATCAACTGAATTACCTCTCCTGCCTAAAACTCTAAACCTGACGTTGTGACACCACGACACATGGCCTATGCGACGAAGACAGCAGTGGTCAAACACCCGAAGCCTTCTCGTGTTCTCTATCTTTAATGGCCATGTTTCACGGCCATGGAGTAGTACAGAACGAACTGCATCACAGTAAACTTGACCCTTAATAGGCAATCAGATATCGTAACGGCGCCACAAATTCATAGGAGCCAACTTAGCTTTTTGTATTCGTGCAGAGATTTCGTTGGTCACTGAATTATCAGGATTAATCCTAAATCCCAGGTAGATGAAGTGCTCAAGGCACTCAACCACTTCACTCTCTCTTGTTAGCCGTGGCATCGTTGAAGACCAGTCCTAGAGCAACAATTTGCCTTAGGAAGGCGAAAAACGTATTCCGAACATTCTCAAATTGCCACCCAAGGTGTCCAGAAGACTCTGTATCCTATCAGCGCCTTCACCTAACAAAACCATGTCATCTGCTTAGTCTAGGTCTACTAGAAATTCTCCTTCGATCAGGTCAATCTGTGTAGTCAGATGATAAGAAGGAGACCTGTATAAGAATATTTATGATAAAATTGAATAAGAATGGAGAAAGTGGGCAGCCTTAATGGACATCACTCGACGTACACGGCTCACTCGATATCTCACCGTAGGTTCAAAAACCCCCACAAGTGTTCGAGTAAAGAGCTTTCAATAAGATGATGTACTTTTTCGGCACTCCTTTCAGTGAGAGACACTAAGACTTCTCGATCGACGGAGTCGAATGCCGCCTTAAGGTCCAGAAACACAGTTGTTGTCGGACGTCGTTAAGCGTGCCTGTGTTCCAGAACCTGGAGTAGTGTGCATATTCGGTAGATCCACCCACGGCCAGGTTAAAAACCTGCCTGGTCCCATTGGGCTTGCTGTTACCGAGCTCTACTCAGGCGTCTGATAATTTTAGGAACTAGAATTCTAGACACTGTGTTCATCAGGCTCATTCCTCTGTGGTTATCAAGAGAGGAATTCTCATTTTTCTTGAAGACTGAGATAATCAGTGAATAAGGCCAGTCAAACGGGATCATAGTTGACTATCATACACTAGTTAGCACTTCAGTTAACTTTACTAAAATTATTCTGCCACATCAAGAACTAGTCCATCTGGTCCTGCTGCCCTTCCTCGTTCCAAGTTAACTGCCGTTTTCTCAACTTCTGATAGTGTTGGGGGGCCTATCCCAATGTCCCATTTTAGAATCCGACTGGATAGCAGGCAACGCGATGGTGGCAGGAGGCCAGCTAAACTGTTCATTGAAGTATCCTGCCTATTGTTTCAGTCGTCTCCCCTGTAAATGGATCACAGACCCTTCCTTCTATGCTATAGTCTCAATAACCGTTTACCTTTTCATCCCAGTTTCCTTACTTGTCTCAATCACTCGATCCATCGATTGAACTTTCATCAACTAAGATGGCTTGGACGTGTGATGTCTATGCCAAGCCACCGCCTATTACGACATACCATGCTGAGGGAAGTTGAATTAGGTTGGGAGAGGGTTCAAGGTGACAAGATCAGGACGAGGCACCTGTCCATGAAGTCTCTTAATGTTGGTCAGACTCGTGGGAGATGTAGACTGTCTGACTGGTTTTCACGAGACGATAGGAATCAGTGTTTGAGAACTGTTGGTGACATAGTTGAAAGTCGGTCACAGCGGCGCAGATTTATCCACTCCTTGACATCTTCTAAAGCTTGAATATTCACAATAACCTTTAACTTCAGACTGTTTATTCTCTCATACAACTTTTTCTGCTTTCATATCACTCCTTTTCTATCCACCTGTTCTTTGTGTACTACTATGAAGTGTGGCAACTTGAGTCGATGCAGTTATGTGTAAGATTCTACTTTGGTTTTCTCTCTCTGTCTAAACGGATACGTTGCCTGGCAATCTGCTCTCGCAATTCACGATTAAATAATCAGTGACCATCATCCGTCTCCGTATAAGCTTGAAAATGTCACACTATTTGAAACTAGTATTAACCTGAAACCAGTGTGGAGATCTACTGCACTCACCATAAAGCGTCAACAAGATCCGGATTCTCAACACCAACGCCAGTCGAGTCAGTGCTCCTATATGGTTCAGAGACTTGGCGCATCACGAAAACCATTTCCAACAAAATACAGATATTCATCAACAACTGCCACCTACGCTGGCTCCTCACTGAAGCTCAGATTCATTGCCAGAAAGAACAAGCAACAAGAAACTCTGGCTAGCTAGCTGGCTGGCAACGAACCAACCAAGAACCTATCGCTCTACAAATATGCAGTGGAAAGAAGTGGAGATGGATTGGATTGG